GTTATATTGGTAGAAGGATGTTGGAGATGGAGCTGCCAGGCAAGAGGTCAAGAGGAAGGCCAAAGAGGAGATATAGGGATGTGCTAAAAGAGGACATGAAGTTAACTGGGGTGAGAGTAGAGGTTGTCGAGGATAGAGTAAGGTGGAAACAGATGATTCGCTGTGGTGACCCCTAATGGGAACAGCCGAAAGAAGAAGAAGAAGTTTAGTACAAAACCCACAGTGAAGCGAATTAGATCATTCAGACAACTGACCTGACAGACATGGACAGACACTAGTGGAAGTTAGTGCATCTTCGTGGTTTCCACTTGGAACTATAGGCTCATTTGGAGATAGGCCAGACCAAAATACTTTTAAAATGAAACCTACAGTAAGGTGTAAATGTTTAAGAACACAACAAAAAGATGTCTTTTTTCTGATTTGGTAGTTTTTATTTCCCAAGCTAGCGGCATAGCCGTATGAATGGTAATGTCAGTGGGTCAGTGTCGCTTTCATAGAGAATGAAATAACTCAACAACAATGAATTGATAATGAGGTATCTTGAAAGGGTTAAACAGTATTGAATTCTATGTATCTGTACATTATGGAGCTTGAAATATGAGATCAACAAAAACAACACAGTTACCCTGCAGCCAGCTGCATGAAACATTTAATTTATAGTCTAGTTCAGTTGAAGTGTTTTTACATTTCCAGACTGTAGACAGCATAGACAACATGTTTGACTTATTTGACATAATTTATAGCACCACCTCCTCTGATGTCTGGTTCAACACCTGGAAATATTCCCATAAAAGACCAACCACTAGTTTCCTCATCCATTGGTTCTTTGTTGTACAGGTGCCATATCTGCTTCCACATGTGGTGTATTCAATTTAGTTCAATAGTCAGTCTTGTGTGTGCTGTACACAGTGTGTTGTATTCATTAATAATATTACCAACAGCTTTATGGCCACACTCTAGAAAAACTAACATGCACTTTATACATGTAATGAATACAACAATAAAAGTACATTTATTATAGAGGTACATTTACCACAGTGTAAATAGTAGCTAGGTGTATTAGCAGGCAGCTACATCTCCTTTGGAGCACAGTAATCTGTTGGCGAGAATGCTAGTGTTCCAGCGGCACGTCATAACTGTGTTTCAACTATCACAACCTATTGAGCGGCTTTATCCACAGTCCACTCACTGAGGTCCCTGTTTTACCCCTAAATCAAGTGGGTGTCTGTCATGACTATGATTTCTCTAGAATATCTTTCAAACTAATGATATCAGCATCCCTCCAAATGCCAGTATTAGATTTTCATGGTCCAGCAATCATATTATGAGGGTCAAGCTATGATGGCAATATTACTTTTATAACATTATGGGGAAATGGAGTTGCCCCTTGGCAGAGGTCTGTAATTTTTGAGTGCTGTTTCCTCATGTTTGTCAAGGGCACAGGACAAAAGATGCTCTCTGTTCCTTAATCCCAAGTTCAGGATGTTTGTCTTGTTAAAAAAGGATGTCCTTGAGATTGTGTGTTCAATTGTCACAAGAAAGGCTCTGTGCTCCTGCCTATATAAATCGCACCTAAGGCTCTTGGAGGTTAACTGTCTTGGATTTGACCATGACTCTGTACACCTTCACCTTCCTGTGTGCTTTCAGCATCCTTGCTGTTCTTCAGGTGCCTGGCACCTTGGCTGGAAAGGTAAGGACACTAAACAGCGGCCCATGGATCTGTATTCCTATACGCACCGTGCGTTCATTTTGAAAAAATGATTTTGCTTAAGTTTTACGCCACTGCATCTGGGGGTCATTCTACGATAAAGAAATATAGTTTCACATTTGTGGCCCAAGGAGCCATCGAATATGATATTGTGTTGCCCACCCCTAAAGTGGATCACATTATTTCTACTCCATAACTTGAGCCCTGCAGCTTGGGGTGAGCGACAGCAGCCACATGCTGACTTTACTTGCTGTTAG